AGTCGTGCCCTTTGGCAGTCTCAGTCTCTCTCAGGAAAAACGCAAAGGGCTTAACTTAGTCGGATTGTCCTATCTTCGTCAAGGGCCAAGTTAATTCTCACCTTTCAACCTGAGCGATGACCTAGAACTGCCCTGTCTGAGAGCTGCGAGGATCTCTGACAGATGGAGGAGTCAGACGGAGAATCACAAAGGGGGGTGACAGCCACAGCAGATTATAAAAATTAAGCTAATTTAGCAACATCTTTAAATGTACTTGCCTTCGCTCATATAAAAATACAGAGACAGGTTGATCAACTCCATCTTGCTTTTTACAAATCTAAACCCATCCATGGCCTCTCATTGTTTTTTGACATGTAACACAACATGTTATTTCCTGTATTAGGGAGGCGTGTGGCGCAGTGGGTTAGTGCGTTGGTGATCGGATCAGGGGGATCAGGGTGATAAGGTTCAAACCCCACTGCAGTCAGCATGTCGTTGTGTCCCTGAGACACTTCCCCCCAAATTGCTCCTGTGGGGATTGCCCACACTATTCAGTATGTAAGCCGCTTTGGATAGAAGCATCTAACAAGTAACATGTAATGTAATATTATATTTTGTTTTTATGGATTGGATTATTGGTGACGGATGGTAAGTTGTTTCTTATTTTGTTGTCTCTGTTTCTATCCTATATGAGTCAAGTTTTCTCTTTGTTCTCTAGTTTGTTTTTCTCCTTAAAGGCCTGTGGCTTCTTGACCTCTGCCGTCCCCTTTTTATTTATACATTTTTCTAATTTCCTGGATTTTATGCAGCCTTATCTAATGCAAATAACAATGTTCGAAGGTTTGAGGTCAAACAGCTGCTGAGCCAAGTTTCTTTTCAGCAGGTTTGTTAAACATTTGAAAGCAGTCTTACTTCATGTTTTTATAATCACAACAATGTACAGAATACAGATTTGAAATAATAAAATAAAAGCGAAAAAGGCTCGCCTAAATCTGCAGATCCCCTATGCCTAATGGGGTTTTATAGCCAGTATTATCGTTATGAATACTCTCAAAGCGCTGTTTGAGTAAAAATCTCTCTTAAACTAATGAACAGTACCTGCTCAGCCCCAGCAGACAGACACACTAAGATGGTGAACATCACGGAGAATGTAACAGCTGAGGAGGTGGATATGCGGATAGTAGGCTTAGAGCTAAAAGAGTGTGAATATGACTTAGCCCTGCCAGGTGTTGGTATTAGGTGTAATAATAGATATAACAGAAGTCTAAAGCAGTGCTGTATTACCTGTTTTTCTGGGGCACGTCACCCTCATCCTCTGGGTGTGCAGGTTTATTGGGATGAACTCCAGAGATTTCTGGGCTTTGCAGCAGCTTGGCTTGAATGAACGACCTAAAAAAACAGAGAATATGTCAAATTGTCATAAAACATAACTGAGATGGTGGATGACAAAAAAAAACCTGTCTCCGTTATAGAAAGCTCTTACAGCTATACTTACTCTTACATCATATGGTTTCCCCTTTCTAACCTTGTTTATGTGCTATACACACAAAGACAGAGGAACAGATTAGCACACATTAGATCAGAGATTAGATTGATGAAATGTTCTTTGATTATCCAATGAAAAGAAACATTGATGTCATTGAATAACTTATATACATTTAATGAGTCACAAAAGGGAATACATAGCACCAAATTAAAATCCATTTTAATTAGAGCTTGTAGAAGTAGCTGCAGTGCAGATTCAATTATACATGGTGACGCTGCGGAGGTTTTCACAACTTAATTGCCACAACAATCAAAGTAAAATGGTGGCAAATAATGCATGAACTCTGATGAAAACTATTTTTTGTTTGTCTTTTAAAATACTGAAAAATAAGCTGAAGTTCCAAATTAGAAAAGTGTTATTTACCCGGCCATTTTCCTACCAAATACCTAATTGTTAAATAAACTGTGACATATACACAGACACTATTCAAACAATTAACAACACACTGTTATTTGTTTAGCATTTTAATGTGATAAAATAAATGTCAATGACAAACCATCCCACTTTTTGATGCCAGATCATTTAACACACTTTGTAAATCAGATAAATATATCAATAAGAGATCAACTAGCAGCTCAAAAGTACCTAATTATTAATCAACTGCCTATAATATCCTCTGATGCTCTGTGTATCCTTTAACTACAGGATTGTATGCGCTTTGCAGCCACTACTTTGCTCAAAACGCCCAATTAAAATGTTCTGCCAAACAATACTCTTCGGCTGAGGTTTATATTTAAGCTCAAACACACAATCCGACTCTCTTTTTTGGCTGTTAAACTTCAAATATGTAAACAGGGTTGATGAGTCTCTTTGAGGAAAAGCTTTCAAGAACAATCAAGGAACAGAGGCAAAAGTGTTGTGATGTTTCCAGCAAAGGTAAGTCATTTCAAATGAAGCTATTCGAAACAGATACAGAAGACCAAAAAGAGGACAAAAAACATTATCCAATAACCAAGTTTCATTCTCTAATTTGGCATCAAACATTTAATTAAATCCTCTTTTAAGAAATATAACTTTGAAAGTCCTGTCAAAGGAATACGCTTAAAAGTAGAGAACCAGCAGAAACTGCACCCGCACTGCAAGTTCCCATCAGCAAAAACATGTGGGTTTGCTATCCTGGTTCCAAAATGGTGGAATGAGCTCCCCATTGACATCAGGACAGCAGACAGCTTACACATCTTCTGGCGACGACTGAAAACTCATCTCTTTCAACTCCACTTCGAGCAATAACATGACTAACAAAGCACTTATATACTAACAAAGCACTTATAAAAGGACTCATATACTAACAAAGCACTCATATACTAACTAAGCACTTATAAAGGACATATACTAACAAAGCACTTATATACTAACTAAGCACTTATATACTAACTAAGGACTTATATACTAACAAAGCACTTATATACTAACAAAGCACTTATATACTAACAAAACACTTATATACTAATAAAGGACTGGCTTATCTAAAGCCAGTTGAGTAGCACTTGAAATGTTTGGCTTTATGAAACCTGATGTACTTATATGATTCTGTTTTCTTCTAGTTTGTATTTTCTTGGTCGAATGCACTTATTGTAACCCGCTTTGGATAAAAGCGTCAGCTAAATGCAATGTAATGTATTTCCTATGAGAAGGCATGTTGTTAATTTAAATTGCATGTAAACAAATACTTCGAAATATTGTCATTGAAGAGTGTAGATATGCAATAACATGAGCTTTTGTTTCTCAACTGTTCAATTTTTATATAATGAAGTTATGTAGGCCTTTTGAAACATGTCTATTTAGTATACAACTGAATAGACCGTAGGATTCTGTGGTGCTTTAATCATGTTATATCTTTTTATCACATGACAGTAGTAATCTAAAAGTGACATTTAAATGACAAGTTTTCCTTAAATTGTCTGTTAATAAAGCTTTTGATTCTCCTCTGTCTCCTGCCTGCCCACAAAGATCGTGGCTCTTATATCCACTCAGTTTTTCTCTTTCTTTTTTTCCGACAATCTGCTTTTTGCTGATGTGGGAAACACATCATAACTTTCCTTTGAACCAGAGGAAGTGATTATATCCCCCCGGGGAAGATGTACCAAGAGAGAGTAACACGTTCATGAGGAGAGTTCAACAAACGTCAGAAGAAGTATAAACAAAGATATATGCTCTTTTGACACTTACTTTATAATTTCCCATTACTCTTGTGGTAGAAAAAGAAATATTCACGACTGTTATTTTAGAAGGAAATATATAAACATCTCAAATTCAGTACGCTAATCATGACAGAGTGAATACATTACAGCAACATTTATACCAGGATTCTATACCAAATATTTGTACACACTGAATGATGTGTTAAAACTAATTTAGAATTAAATGACTAAAACTCTACAACTATTTCCTATTATTACGTGTTGTAAAGACTTGACTAGGACTATATCAATGCATTTGATTTACCATGAAGGTGAAGAAGTGGGTATGCTTGCGTCTGCAGGTTAATTGTAGCATAATGAAAACACTGAACTCTTCTATCTGACATGTGCCCTTACTCTACTTTGTGTGGAGAATAACTCAATTACGCAGCTGTACTCACTCCTATCCATCCTGTGTTTTAATTACTCTCGAGGCTGCACACCAGCGTGCACCAATCAGAGCCTCGCTGCTACAGAAGGTTTATGTTTACACAGAATTCGAGATGAGAAAATGTGTTACCTGCCACACATTTTTAACATCGTTTGGAAGGTTAACCAAACATGAACACAAACACACTGCGCCTCCATAATGTGGAGAGTGCTGACCCGCTCAAGCTGAAATGTGTTACCCCAGAACTGAAATAAGTTATGACTCAGCTGGAGCCGACAGCTAGCTTAGAGTTATGATTTTCCATCACTGAAAATCAATCATATCTTCTTTTCAAATTTGCTGCTAAGTGCAAATGTAAACAGATGCCATTTCCGAACAGTAAATATACAATCTGTCCACTTAATACAGGGAAGACAACAACATGAGCTCCACATAGCCGGATTCAAAGGGGTTTTACGCCTTTTTTCGAGGCACAGATGGGACACACTCTGCCAATAATACAGGCTTTATTTATCAAGCAGAGGCACCAGGCATGGGTCATGTTTCATGTATTTGTCTGCGAGACAACAGCCCTGTTGGCAGCACTATAAGACCTGTACACAATGGTGGTGGTACATGCTAATATTAGCAGGATAACAGTGATCATGCTTACATGGAAATAGGCAAATAGAAATTGTGGCCTGAAAATGGCACGAAATGAAATGTTGAGAGGGTCCCAAAGACCATTAGATTTGTTCCTCAAGTTACCTCCAATATGTGTATAATATTGTTTCCAAATATTTAAAGCAGGAGACCCATATACAAAACACATGTCGTCATCTCTCCCTCCCTTTCACAATCTTATATGTCCCATGTCATGGCCATTTCTACTGATCATCATTCCATTGTTGAAGTCTACTAGAATAGATTTATACTGTGCATTGTTCCAAACTCACATTGGTTTCTCATACAGCATCTCTGTATAGTATGTGTATTCACTCTGTCCTACACGGCTCGTTGGAGCTCCTGCCCCCCCCCCCCCCCTCCCTGTGTGCCCACTGTGGTCTGATTGGTCAGCTCGCCCACTCTGTTCTGATGAGTCCACCACCGTTACAGCGGAACATCAGTGATTATGTGTTACATGGCATTTGTTAGCAACCAGAAAATGACACCAGTAATGACAAACAGATGAGAATGCTACGTGGGGTCTGGGTGCCATGTTGGCGGGACGTTGCACGGCTCGCTGCTGCGAGGAGCGTGAGCTGGGTTCAATTCCTGCTTGCTGCGTGGGATCTGTGCGAGACATCGCGAATGGACGCGGGAAGAGGGGGGGGGGGCTGCAGCTCCCCCATCTGCGAGGTTCCACTAGCACCCGTACCCCCAAACGCGGCGCACCTACAGTGTAAGTGCGCCAAAGTTTTGCGGCTCCGACCAATGGCTCCATTTGGGTATGGGCACGTCATTGTACCCAGGAAGAAACCAATGGAAAAAGAGAAATCTCCAACGAGGCGTTCTGGGGCAGCATAGACCGGTCTTTTCTGTGTTAGAGTTTTACTCGCTACAGGGTGTACTTTGAGGGTTTGTGACTCTGCAGACCGTTTACATGCATAAGAACCTTCATACACACA